CCTTTCACTTCCCAGAATTTTCCTCTCTCCTTATCCCACCTATACTTCCTGCCTGGCCACTGGCCAATCAGTGTTTTATTTATTAACATATTTGCCATACAGAACATCTCACAGCAGGTCTTATTATAAAAAACCTGGAGGCAGATATTGGTATAAATGCTGAAAGATTAGAGAGACAAGGGAACAAGCCACTGCCACATCTTATCTCTAGAATTCCTCAGCCTAAAAATGCTTCAGTTTCTATCTCCTCATGCCTTATATACCTTTCTTCACCCAGCCATATCACTTTGTTCTTAGTACTGTGATTAAAGGCATGTGACTTTACAAGCAAATGCATGGGGTTAAAGTTGTGTGCCACCACTGCATGGTTCTGTTCCTCTCCTAGACTGAGTCAATCTCATGTAGTCTAGGGTGCCTTTAAACTTACAGAGGTCCAGAAGGATCTCTGCCTCCTGAGTTCCTGGCCTATGTTTAATCCAGTGGCTTGTTTTGTCCTCTGATCTTCAGCTAAATTTTATTAGGGTGCACAATATGTCACCACAGCCACAGTCTGGGGATGTTGGGCTGTCCTGAAGGGGTTTAGTGGGTAGTGGGTGGTGTCTGCTTTCTTGGAGCTGTGACTTCTTATGGTTTGTCAAAAAGTTAATGAAGACAGGGTCAGGGATGAGGTTGATTAATCTATAGCTCATCTTCCATTTCTAAAGATTGTAGGTATGATGTGCATTAAAGTTATTTTCCACATTATAAATTATCTGGCAGCACTTTCTATCAACAACCACTACTGTAAACATCTTCATGTGTAAAGTTAGGCATATAAGGCAGTTTATAATCTACACAATGATTCATTCCTATGAGTTCATGGTCAGTAACAATGTTATACTTCAGAACAGATAGGAAAACACATTTCTGAAATGTATTCTGCACCTACTGAATCATACCCTGGGGAAATTTTATCCAGATATTAAAGTTTTCTCAAGGCCCTACATCAGTTCTGACCTGCTCTGGAGTTTGAGAACTGTTATGGAATTTAATAGAATTTAATAGAAGGAGCATTTGTAAAATCCTCAGAACCGGACTTGGCAACTCACTGTTATTCTTCTAAAATTCCCCTCTAGGAAATAAAAGAACAACACCACAGGAATAATTTTCATCAGTGCTTTGATATCTATGGCTGCCAGAACCTAAGAAAGAGGGATGACTTCCAACTCGAGCAATATATATATTTATATATATATATTCTTTCTATTTTCTATGGATCAGAATAAGACTCCAAGATTGATTTTCTCCAAGCATGATTTTTAAAACATACAAATTTATAGAATAAGAACAGATTATGGAAAAGGATAAAAGAGCATTGTGGAGAATAAAAATTAGTTGTCTTTAGAATTGATGGTAATATTGTAAAACTGGACGCATAAATGGAAGTATACATAATCTTTCAAACATACTATAAAATGTTAAATTATTCTCTTTGAGATGAAAACTATTATCTCATTAATATCACAGTAAAATATTATGATGCTTCCTACATAAAAAATAAAATGGTAAAATGCCCATTTTATGTCTTGAGTGTTCACTTGATTTAATAATTTAAAATTATTCATACTGTGGTATATATCAACACCTCATTTTGTGACTTAAAATTCTCAGTGTATGAGTACACATTTCACTTACATATTCTTCAATCAGTGTTAATTTGTCACAGTTTTAGGCTACTATGATTCATTGTTCTAGAATATTTGTTTACTTGAATTTTCTTTAATATGTATTTTCATTTATACAGGCTGTCTACAGAGCAGGATAGGTCACATGAACAATTCTTTGAGGAGCAACCACAGTGGTTTCCAGCATTTCGATTGTAGTCTACATTCTCACAGAATGAGTGAAAATTCATTCAGAACAAGTCTGGCACTATCATCTATTTGTCATCTATCTATCTATGCATCTATCATCTATCATCTATCTATGTATATATCTATCTTCGATAATCTATCATCTATCTCTCATCATCCATCCATCTATCTATCTATCTCTATCATCTATCATTGATCTATTATGTAGTCACATAAATTATCTCATCTTACATTTTCTTTCCATATATCCTTCCACTCTGCTTATCTTCCTCTCTTCCTTCCTTCATTCCTTTCTCACTATCTTCCCTTTTATGTTTGTCTTTCTCCCTGTCTTTCCCTATCTTTCAATCATGTCAAGCATGTTGTAGTTGCAATAGACCCACATTCATGGTGCCGATCTTGCAGGCCTTGAAATGTACTGAAACAGCATGCATAGATCTCTCTATCCTGAGATTACATTTCTACTGGATATTCTGAGATTTCCTCTAATGCTAGGCAAAAGTGAAAATATTATGGTAATTTGCTTCTCATTGTCTTATAATTGACAAAGTAGTGGATGTTGATGAATGAAGTTCTTTTTTCAAAACTAATTATTTGATACCTCAAACTTCAGAATATTCTTGAAATTCCAATTTATATGCTTTCTACATTAATTTTCTTGTCTGTATTTTTAAATGAGGTAATGCAACAATGAAAACTCAATGGAAGCAATATTTTTCAGTATTCCTTCTATTCTTTACTTAGTACATTGTTTTTGGTATATATAACACCAACATTATTGCTTTAAGACTATGGTGATCTCATGAAAATGGTGGATTCTCATCAGAGACAACAGGAGATGTTGAGCTGTAGAAGCTGTTGGGACTCTGCAGCCCTAGGCCACCCTGTCAATATCAGACTTTATAAGGTCTTCTCATTAAATTGCATGTTTACATTAACACATTGATTTCAGGACCATCCTAGTACAAACTTGAGGAAGATACCTAAGGTCTATATACTTCAAACTACACAAATGATCCCTGAAAGTGCAATCATAATGTCTAAGATAGTCTGAGTTATCACATCATAAAGTTGCTCCTACCACAACTACAATACTCACTTGTTAAAACCTTAATTTCAACACATAAAAATCATTCTAATGTTAGACAAATCTCAACACATTTAACAATCCCCTTGCCCATACTGATGAAGGCCTCAGGATGTATGCTATTCCCTCCCAAACAATATTATAGTTCATATTATTGCCCATGTGTCTTATGATAAAAAAACATTGTGATGGCATAATTTCTAGAAATTTAACTTCTTATAGAAAAAGAGATGGTCTCAAGTCCATGCCTACATATAGTGATTAAAATTTTTCATTCCTTGAAAATTTGAAGCATATCTCACTTCTTAAGTACCATGTGGCCTGATCTGTTATTTCAATATTTGCTTGGGTTGTTTCTAAATACAAAATTATTATCCTAACAAATTTAAAGTGACATTATTTGATGGGAACTATTCCTTGTTATCCCACTCTGTTCCTGATCCAGCTGGGACCTCCCACTCACTTAAACTCACTTTCCCCCAACTCTTGCCCTCCATTACTCCCCCTCACCCTCAGTTTGCTCATGTAGATCTCATCCATTTCTCTGTCACTGGATGATCCCTGTGTTTTTCTTAGGGTCCTCTTTATTAGGTAGCCTCCCTGGAGTTGTGAGTTAGAGTCTGGTTATCCTCTCCTTTACATCTAGTATCCACTTATGAGTGAGTACATAACTTGTTTGTCTTTCTGAGTCTGGGTTACCTCACTCAGGATGGTATTTTCTAGTTTCATCCATTTGCCTGCAAACCTCATGCTGTCATTGTTTTTCTCTGCTGAGTAACACTCCATTGTGTATATGTACCACATTTCCTTTATTCATTCTTCAGTTGAAGGGCATCTAGGTTGTTTCCAGGTTCTGACTATTACAAATAATGCTGATATGAACATAGTTGAGCATGTGTCCTTGTGGTATGATTGAGCATTCCTTGGGTATATGCCCAAGAGTGGTATAGCTAGGGCTTGAGGGAGGTTGATTCCCAATTTTTAAGAAAGCACCATATTGATTTCCAAAGTGGTTGTACAAGTTTGCTTTTCCACCAACAGTGTAGGAGTATTCCCCTTGCTCCACATCATCTCCAACATAAGCTGTCTTCAGTGTTTTTGAACTTAGTCATTCTGACAGATGTAAGATGGTATCTCAGAGTCATTTTGATTTGCATTTCCCTAATGATTAAGGATGTTGAACAATTCCTTAAATGTCTTTCAGCCATTTGAGCTTCTTCTATTGAGAATTCTCTGTTTAGCTCTATAGCCCATTTTTATAATGGACTGTTGGGCATTTTGATGTCTAATTTCTTGAGTTCTTTATATATTCTGGATATCAGCCCTCTGTCAGATGTGGGGTTGGTGAAGATCTTTTCCTGTTCTGTAGGCTGTTGTTTTGTCTTATTGAACATGTCCTTTGCCCTACAAAAGCTGCTCAGCTTCAAGAGGTCCCATTTATTAATTGTTTCTCTCAATGTTTGTGCTACTGAAGTTATATTTAGGAAGTGATCTCTGATACCAGTGCATTCAAGACTACTTCGTATTTCCTCTTCTATCAGGTTCAGAATAATTGGATTTATGTTGAGGTCTTTGATCCACTTGGACTTAAGTTTTGTGCATGGTGACAGATATGGATCTATTTGCAGTCTTCTACATGTTGACATCCAGTTATTTGGCTCCTTTGTCAAAAATCATATGTTCATAGATGTGAGGATTAATATCAGGGTCTTCAGTTCGGTTCCATTGGTCCACATGTCGGTTTTTATGCCGGTACCAAGCTGATTTTATTACTGTGGCTCTATAGTAGAGCTTGAAGTCAGGGATTGTGATGCCTACAGAGGTTGTATTATTGTACAGGATTCTTTTGGCTATCCTGGGTTTTTTTATTTTTCCATATGAAGTTCAGTTTTGTTCTTCCCAGGTCTGTGAAGAATTGTGTTGGGATTTTGATGGGGATTGCATTGAATCTGTAGATTGCTTTTGGTAAGATTGCCATTTTTACTATGTTAATCCTACCTATCCCTGAGCATGGGAGATCTTTCCATTTTCTAACATCTTCTTCAATTTCTTTCTTCAAGGGGAGGTCCCAGCTGGATGAGGAACAGAGTAGGAGAACAAGGAAAGAGATACCATGGTAAGTGAAGACCCCAATGGGAATAGGAAGAAGCAGAGTGCTAGAGAGGTCCCCACAAATCCACAAAGTTACCTCCACTATAGACTACTGGCAATGGTCAAGAGATTGCCTGAGCTGACCTACTCTGGTGATTAGATGGTCGAACACCCTAACTGTCGTGATAGAACTCTCATCCAGTAACTGATAGAAGCAGATGCAGAGATCCACAGCCAAGCCCCAGGTGGAGCTGCAGGAGTCCAATCAGTGAGAGAGAGGAGGGATTATATGAGCAAGAGATATCAAGACCATGATTGGAAAAGCACAGGGACAAATAGCCAAACTAGTGGAAACACATGAACTGCGAACCAATAGCTGAGGAACCCCCCATGGAGCTGGACCAGGCCCTCTGGATAAGTGAGACAGTTGATTAGCTTGAACTCTTTAGGAGGCCCCCCGGCAGTGGGACCAGGACCTGTCCTTGGTGCATGGGCTGGCTATTTGGAACCTAGGGCCTATGCTGAGACACTTTGCTCAGCCTTGGTGCAGGGAGGAGGGGACTGGACTGGCCTCAACTGAATCTACCAGGCTGGGCTGACTCCTGAAGGGAGACCTTGCCTTGGAGATGGTGGAAATAGGAGGAGGATTGTGGTGAAGGCTGGGGGTAGGAGGAAGGAGGACAGGTTAATCCGTGGCTGATAGGCAAAATTAAATTAATTATAAAATAAAAGTTTTTAATAAAAATAAAATAAAATGACACTCTTCTCTACCCATAAAAAAGTAATTGGGGGAGACTTAGAGGCCGGCCTCCAGCTCCCATCTTGCCCCAGACTTCCCTTTTGGAACACTGGTGAGTGCCCTTCCTTGCCCGGGACCCCATCCCTGGGCACCAGCCACTCCAGGGAAGACCTGCCCAACTTGGCCCCAGGTTCTGGCCACCGGGCAGGTTCCCTGCTAGCCCCACTGGGAAGGATCCCCTTCTCCAAGACCCCTGGCAGACCCTGCAGTCTCCACGCCCTGCCCCCACGCCCATCCGCCTGAGCCCCAAGCCTCTTCCTGAGACTTAGAGGCCGGCCCCCAGCTCCCATCTTGCTCCGGACTTCCCTTTTGGAACACTGGTCTGTCTGAACCAAGTGTGCGGATAAGGCCAAGAACGAATCACAAGGAGATGGGCAGACGTCAAGGCAGAAACATATACAACAAAATGAATAGCAATACAGCATCACCAGGCCCTAGCCCTCCTCCAACACCTAGACCTGAACATCAGAAATTGGAAGAAGCAGAAGAAAACAGCCTTATGAATGACATCATGAAGAAGCTAGAGGCTTGCGTAGAGGAAAAGACAAAAAAATGTGAAGAACGCTGTAAACAACTAGAGGAAAGGGCAAACAAATTAGAAGAAATCAATAAAGTCCTGGAAGAAAACAATAAAGTACTGAGAGAAAATCAAGAAAAATCAATGAAACAAATGAAGGAAACAGTCCAAGACCTGAAAAGGGAAATAGAAAAAATGAAGAAGACACAAACAGAGGGAATGCTGGAAATAGAAAATCTGAGAAAACGATTGGGAACTTCAGATGCAAGTATAATCAACAGAATGCAAGAGATGGAAGAGAGGATCTCTAGCGTTGAAGATACAGTAGAAGAAATACATTCATCAGTCAAAGAAAACACTAAAGCCAACAAAGTCATGAACCAAAATGTCCAAGAAATTTGGGACACCATGAAAAGACCAAACCTAAGAATAATAGGGGTCGAAGAAGGAGAAGAATACCAACTCAAGGGCACAGAAAATATATTCAACAAGATCATAGAAGACAACTTTCCCAACTTAAAGAAGGAAATGCCTATGAAGATACAAGAAGCTTATAGAACACCAAACAGACTAGACCCCCCAAAAAAGTCCCCTCGCCACATAATAGTTAAACAACTAAATGTACAGAATAAAGAAAGAATATTAAGAGCAGCAAAGGAAAAAGGCCAAGTGACATATAAAGGCAAACCCATCAGAATAACACCCGATTTCTCAATGGAGACTTTGAAAGCCAGAAGAACCTGGACAGATGTAATGCAGACACTAAGAGACCATGGATGTCAGCCTAGACTAATATACCCAGCAAAACTTTCAATCACCATAGATGGAGTGAACAAGACATTCCATGACAAAGCCAGATTTAAACAATACTTATCCACAAACCCAGCCCTACAGAAAGCACTAGAAGGAAAATTCCAACCTAAGGAAGTCAGATACACCCTCGAAAACACAGGTAACAGATAAAGCCACAGCAGTAAACCCCAACGTATAGAAGTACACACACATCACCACCAAAAAATAACAGGAATAAACAATCACTGGTCATTAATTTCCCTCAATATCAATGGACTTAATTCACCTATAAAAAGACATAGGCTTACAGAATGGATACGAAAGCAGGACCCATCTTTCTGCTGCATACAAGAAACACATCTCAAATTCAAAGATAGACACTACCTAAAAATAAAAGGCTGGGAAAAGACTTTCCAATCAAACGGTCTTGAGAAACAAGCGGGTGTAGCCATCCTGATATCCAGCAAAATAGACTTCAAACTAAAATCAATCAAAAGAGATCAAGAAGGGCATTACATACTCATCACAGGAAAGATCCACCAAGATGAAGTCTCAATTCTGAATATTTATGCCCCAAACACAAGGGCACCCACGTATGTAAAAGAAACATTACTAAAGCTTAAATCACATATAAAACCCCACACATTAATAGTGGGAGACCTCAACACCCCACTTTCACCACTGGACAGATCTCCCAAATTGAAACTTAACAGAGAAATAAAGGACTTAACTGATGTCATGACTCAAATGGACTTAATCGATATCTACAGAACATTCCATCCTAACAAAAAAGAATATACCTTCTTCTCAGCACCCCATGGAACCTTCTCTAAAATTGACCACATACTTGGCCACAAAACAAATCTAAACAGATACAAAACAATTGAAATAATCTCCTGTGTTCTATCAGACCACCATGGTCTAAAGTTGAATTTCAACAACAACAAAAACTACAGAAAACCTACAATCTCATGGAAACTGAATAATACCCAACTGAATCACCAATGGGTTAAGGAAGAAATAAAGAAAGAAATTAAAGACTTCCTAGAGATCAATGAAAATGAAGACACCACATATCCAAATTTATGGGACACTATGAAAGCAGTACTAAGAGGGAAATTCATAGCACTAAATGCCCACATAAATAAATTGGAGAAATCTCACACTAGAGACTTAACAGCATACCTGAAAGCTCTAGAACAAGAAGAAGCACAGTCTCCCAGGAAAAATAGACGCCAGGAAATTATCAAAGTGAGAGCTGAAATCAATAAAATAGGAACAAAGAGAACAATACAAAAAATTAATGAAACAAAGAGTTGGTTCTTTGAGAAAATCAACAAGATAGACAAGCCCTTATCCAAACTAACCAAAAGACAGAGAGAGAGCATCCAAATCAACAAAATCAGAAATGAAAAGGGGGACCAACAACAGACATTGAGGAAATCCAGAGAATCATCAGGTCATACTTCAAAAACCTCTATTCGACAAAACTGGAAAACCTAAAAGAAATGGATAACTTTCTGGATAGGTACCACATACCTAAGTTAAATCAAGACCAGATAAAATATTTAAATAGTTCAATAACCCCTAACGAAATAGAAACAGTCATTAAAAGTCTCCCAACCAAAAAAAGCCCAGGACCAGATGGTTTCAGCTCAGAATTCTACCAGATCTTCAAAGAAGAGTTAATACCAATACTCTCTAAATTGTTCCACACAATAGAAACAGAAGGAACATTACCAAACTCCTTCTACGAGGCTACAATTACCCTAATTCCTAAACCAAACAAGGATACAACAAAGAAAGAGAACTACAGACCGATCTCCCTCATGAACATTGATGCAAAAATACTCAATAAAATACTGGCAAACAGACTCCAAGAACACATCAAAACAATTATCCACCATGATCAAGTAGGATTCATTCCAGGGATGCAAGGGTGGTTCAACATACGAAAGTCCGTCAATGTAATACACCATATAAACAAACTCAAAGAAAAAAACCATATGATCATCTCACTGGATGCAGAAAAGGCATTTGACAAAATCCAACACCCGTTCATGATAAAGGTTTTAGAGCGATCAGGAATACAGGGAACATACCTAAACATAATAAAGGCAATTTACAGCAAGCCAACAGCCAACATCAAATTAAATGGAGAGAAACTCAAAGCAATTCCACTAAAATCAGGAACGAGGCAAGGCTGTCCGCTCTCCCCATACTTATTCAATATAGTACTTGAAGTTCTAGCCAGAGCAATAAGACAACATAAGGAGATTAAGGGGGTACAAATTGGAAAGGAAGAAGTCAAGCTTTCCCTATTTGCAGATGACATGATAGTATACTTGAGTGACCCCAAAGATTCCACCAAGGAACTGATACAGCTTATAAACACCTTCAGCAACATAGCAGGATACAAGATCAACTCAAAAAAATCAGTAGCCCTCCTATATACAATGGACAAAGAAGCGGAGAAGGAAATCAGAGATACATCACCCTTTACTATAGCCACAAATGACATAAAATACCTTGGGGTAACACTAACCAAGCAAGTGAAGGACCTATATGACAAGAACTTTAAGTCCCTGAAAAAAGAAATTGAAGAAGATGTCAGAAAATGGAAAGATCTCCCATGCTCATGGATAGGCAGGACTAACATAGTAAAAATGGCAATCTTACCAAAAGCAATCTACAGATTCAATGCAATCCCCATCAAAATACCAACACAATTCTTCACAGACCTGGAAAGAATAATACTCAACTTCATATGGAAAAACAAAAAACCCAGGATAGCCAAAAGAATCCTGTACAATAACACAACTTCTGGAGGCATCACGATCCCTGACTTCAAGCTCTACTATAGAGCTACAGTAATAAAAACAGCTTGGTACTGGCATAAAAACTGACATGTGGACCA